AAAAAAAAAAAAAAAAGGGATTTTGTTTGAAGGCCCAATAAACATGTCAGTTCTAAAAAAAATGAGAATTTTCTGACTATTTTTTAAAGGGTTAGGCTTTATAGGGTTAAACACTGGTGGYGAGGATGTCTCATCTCATTAGGTTTATTTTAAATACACAAAAAAATATACAAGACAAGTTTTTCAAACATCCGTCTTTTTACCAAAATAGTCACAACATCTAAAATTAAATCAGGCAACTGAATTATTTTATTCTGACTGTGTGAATCCAATTAAATGATAAAAGTCAGTAGTGTATCATAAATAAAAGCAAAGAGATGATTTAAATTAATAAAAAAATATTCCTTTTTTTCTCATTAAGGAGATTGTTTGTTAAAACTAACAAGCTTAAAGCAAAAAGTCTGCTTTTCTAGACAGCATAAAAAGTTTCAGGCAGACATTTATAAACATTTTGTCCGATAAACTATTGTTAAAAGAAACTTTGACACAAAGCTGTACAAAGCTTCTTAAGCTTTTTTGCATTAATAAATAAATGTCAAATGTTCATTAAAGCAATGCAAATTAAAAATAATTTGTGTCAAAATGACGAATTGTTTTGGGGATTAATATCTACCTGGATATTGTCCAAACAGGTTTTGGAGCAGGGAGGTGTTGGCCCATGTGTACACATCCTGAGGACCCATGCTGCCTGGGACATTTCCTGTGAAGCTGTTTGTAATGTGCTGATTCAGGAAAAAAACATTGGGATCTTTTTGGCCATAAGCCACCTGCAGCAACATCCACATGAAGCCCAAATAGACTGGAACACAATAAGAAATCAGAAAGAACAGAAGAAAAATTAATACTTCTAAGAATTTTTTTATCTCAGATTTTTTTAACTTCTTCATTAACATGTCACATCTGCTCATTCTTCTGTTCTTTTCTATGAATCATTTTTTATAATGAATTCTTTTTAATTAATAGTGTGCCAAACTTACAAATCCTCCCTGATATAAACCAATAAAAAATACACAGTTCATACGCACTTAAGATCTCAGTGAGGAGAGCGAATGCCTTCTGTTCCAAAATCTTCTTCCTTTTCATTTTCTCAATGTCTGCAGGTGGAGGTGGCTCGTACAGACAAGCAGCCCATCTGCTCATTGTTCGGCTGTTTTGATCACCTAAAAATGATGCTGAATTTAATACTTTTCACAATTTGTGGAAAAGAGAAAATGTGCTTTGGGGGATATTTTGACCCAACCTGGACATCTTTCAACTTTTTCAAAGGCCACATCTTGAAAATCCTCCTCGTCCACTTTCTTTATTACCAGTGCAAAGAAAACTGCGAGACCKATCACCTATAATGTAAAGCATATTGTCTAAATTCTAAAGAAACATGTTTAATTTAAGATTATTGAGATATGTTTTGCTGTATGGCGTGGTATGAGAGCCAAAATTAAGACTATTGCACAATTGATCTGATTAATGATAGGCCGGCACCAGTAACTGAGAGGCTRGCACTGGAAAATTCGAAGCAGACTATTCATTTGCATTAGCATTGGAGAGGCTAGTGACTAGCATAGATAAGCTGCTCACTTTATTAGACACAAATGTTTTTAACTAAAGAGGCAATATTATGTAAAATCAACTTTTTTAAGTTTTATATCATGTTATAATGTTATCCTCTCATCAAAAACATGCCCAGAGTCTTGCTTTGACTCATTCATGCATGTCTGAGAAATCCTGTCGTGTCCTGAGGCAGCCAGGCAGGGGAGCAAAAACGACCGATTGGGCCTAGAACCGCCTTTTGAGATTAGCTCCTCCTCTGGGCTGTGTCTCCAAGCTGAGCTTCCTCATCACAGAACACATACACACACACACCCGGCCCGTGCTGAAATGGGCGGGACAGAAGCAGAAGGAGGTTCTTAAAGAGACAGAGACCAATTTCAAGATGTTTGGAAACATATGATGAGAATTGAAGTTTATTTTCTATTTATAAATATAAACAGCATTTTAATACCAACTGAAGGTGACAGTTACTTTTATTATAGTATAGAATTTAAATATATGCCTGAGAAACACATAATATTGTCCCTTTAAAGAAAACTTACTCTATAAACTAAAATTTCTCTAAAAAGTCACAACATGATAGTTCTTGTTTTCTCATCTCTTGACTAAAGAGAAAAAAATACACAGCCATCGACCAATAGACAAGGGCAAACACAGTTGCTAATTCAGGTGGTAACGGCTGCATGATGGCTCAGTGGTTAGCACTGACGTCTCATAGCAAGAAGGTCCTGGGTTYGATCCCCGGTTCAGAACTGGGATCTTTCTGTGTAAAGTTTGCATGTTCTTGAGCTTGCGTGAGATTTTTTTTCTGGGTACTGTGGTTTCCACCCCAAAAAATGTGCAACGTGATGCCTTCAGGCCCAGGCCTCCGTTGAAAGAGAGAGATCCGTGATCTCAGTGGAATTTGCCTGGTTAAATAATGGTAAAATAAAATAATAAAAAAATTTAACTAAAGCTGCCTGCTTCACAATATGTTTTATGTTTATTATTTATGCTTGACGTCATGTTGATCAGTTGATTCTGCAAAGAAAACTTCCTGGTTGAACTCATCACTGTACAGTTCTTTCATTGTCTGATGCCTTGACTTTTCAGAATTATGTTTTGTATAGTGGTATTAATTTATATTTTCAGATCTTCCTAGGTGCCAATTATGGAACTCTCTGTGCATTGYTGCCCAAATCAAATTCTGGAAGTGGTCATTCAACTAGATCTGTTACAAAAGGACAACTGATATTACCAACTTTTAAAAACTGTTACAGCCAGAGGTCTTTCTTCTATGTTTATACTAAAGCATGGAATGACATTCCTCAAAACATAAAGTCCATTTCAAAACTACAGCCCTTTAAGAAGAATCTTGTCAGCCATCTGCTGGACACTTTTTGTTGTGCTCATATTTAGACGTCCTATTTTGCAAATGCTGCCTTCCTGAAATTTGGTATGCTTGTTTGTCTTTGTGTCTATGGTGTATAATGATGTGATTGTGATGCTGTAATTCTGAGTGTTTTATGTGCTGCAGAACAGGAGCCTGCTGTAAAACAGCAATTACGCTGAGTCAGGCTTGATTTTTAATAATCTTTTCCTGTTAAATAAATAAATCAAATCAAAGGAACACCTGTCAGCATGTTGCTTATAGGTTTTGTATGTCAATCATTTTTGTTAAGAAAGTTTTCCTTTTTCAAAAAAGTTGAAGTAGGTGAGCCTAAGCATGCTAGTTGCTAGCCTCGCCAGTGCCAACGCCAACTTATCGATGCTGGTCACTAGCATTTCTGATGCTAACACAAATGAATAGTCTCCTTCTCATTTCCCAGCACCGGCCTCTCAGTTACCAGGGCCAGCTGCTCAGTTAGCAGTGCTGGCCTATCATTAATCAGATAAATAACTGGCTTAGGAATAGATATAGCCTCCTGCTACAACGATGATTGTGCAATAATCCTTATTTTGGCCCTCATACTGTGACGTATTGCTGTGAATAAAATCCACTACTCACCTTCAGCGGCTGAATAAAGAGAAGACTCTGAAAGAAGGAAACGATCATGGAGACCAACCAGCTGATGGATCGGTCCTTTCCAAACTTCAACCCGTAAAGCATCGTAAAATAACCAGATATGAAACTGGAAGCACACACCAGCAGCCAGCCAACAAAGATAAACCACCAGGGTAGCACTCCGTGTCGACGCACTCTCTTTTTCCGACCGCTGTCACCAGAAGTAGTATCTGCTGGCCTGGACCTGAGAGAGTACAATTAAACAATCTGTGCAAATTCCCCATTTGCTTAGGATCTGTTACAACTATAACACACAAATAAATTATTTAAATGCCATGTACTGTAGAAAATCTCCAACCTCAGTAGGTAAAAAATAGGTAATAAACAAAAAAAAGTGTGGTAATTTTAACAAATACTTATGTTCATGTTGGTTGACATGGCTGGTTATTGGGAGGTAGTTTCCAAGGAAGCTCTTCATGTCCTGGACTTGTTGCAGAGCCTGATTGAAGCTCTCTGGGTTGGGGAAGCAGGAAGGGCCCAGATGACTCATCTCCTTTTCAAGATGACACATTTGCCTGTACAAATGCTGGGTTTTGTTGCTTTTCTTTTGAATCCCCTCCTCTGATGGCACAAAACACAAATGAGCTGATCTTAACAACAAAGCAGCCTTGACAGAAGTTATACGGTCTCGTCCAAATTGGCCTGTTTCTGAAGAAAACCATTGTAAAGTGGAGAAAGCAATGAGTTTTGTACAGTAGGTGCTTGGAGCGCACCTGGGTGGGCGTCATCACTGGTTTTGTAACTCTGTTTGAGGAAGTCTTCCACCTCAGAGAGAATGCCATTTATATCGGTTCCTTTTCCAGGTCCAAACTCCGACTCAGTGAACGGGATGTTGCTTTTTGCTGTCTCAGAGAGCGAATGCACAATTCTTGTGATATCCTAAAAGTTCAAATACAAAAAGACAGTTTATATTAGGGCTGTGAAATTAATCAAGTTAACTCTGATTAATTTTAGTGCTACATGGGCATAGATTAAAATTTTTAATTGCGATTAAAATTTACATTCACTTTATTATGGCTGAATATGTAGGTTTGTATATCGCAATGCACTCAGTGCATGCAAGGGCATGTTTGTAAATGAGAAGTGGTTCTCAAACAGTTTACCTGGATAAATAAAGGTTAAATAAAATAAAATTATGCACAGTTTTTTTCTTTTTGTCTTCATATGGCTTATTTTAATTTATTTATTTATGTTTTGCAAACAACTGTGACCTTAGTGTCAATCTTTCGTTCCTCATGTAGTACTTTTTGATTGAAAAATCCTTGAATTCTTGATTTAACCTCATTATTCTGCACAAAATTTAACTGACTCAAATATGTTTGGAGCATTTTTAGGTCCCGTTTTATATTCGAAAAATTGTGTCTAAGCATCGATTTTGTTTTCTAAATAAAAAACATTAAAAGCTAATTAATAACTCAAGTAATTTAGTTTATCATTATGCAATAAAAATGCATATTAAATTTAAGATTAATCATGATTTATTCACAACTACTTTGGGATTAATCAGATTAAAAATAACAATAATTTGACAGCCCTAGTTTATATACACATAAATAAATTTGCAGACCATATAATTTGTAACCTGAATTTCAAAAAGGTTTGTGTGAAAGGTAAATAAAACCCAATCAAACGTGTATTTATTCATATTGGGACACAGTAAATATATAAAATGTTTAAACGAAAATACTGCATCATTATTAGGAAGCAATAGTCTTGAAAAAAGTTAGCTTGCATTCTGAGTCCAACTTATTTAAACTGTGACATATTTTTGCCAGGTTTTTAATTTTATGATGCATGAAATGTTTTTATGTGGTGAGAGGTCTGGACTGCAGGCAGGCTGTTTCTGCATCTGAACCCTTATTAGTTGCTAACTGTTCTTCCAGCTGTTTCTCATTTGTATCATTATTGTTCCTGTCTGAAGTTTGAAAAATAAAATAATTTTGAATTTGTTGACAAAATATCTCAAACAGTATACTTTAATTGATATTTCAGATTTTCAACATTTTTCATTGTAGAAGTAGCACAAGTTTATGAGATTTTCCAAATAATTTCATTCCAACTATTAGTGAATTGGGGTTTCAGTTTCAATATAAGGTTAAATATTATTTATTATAGCTTTTCACAACACCCAACATCAGAATTTGTAAGTGATTTAACAATAAATGAGTATAACGGCTAATTTAGGGGTTTAAATTTTGTCAAATATTAGACTTTTTAAATGCACAGAAACAAGAACACCTACCTTTATAATAACGTCTAAATTGATGTTCTCAGTATTTGTAGCCGTCTGTGAGGAAACTGTCTGCAAAGTGCTCTCATGCTGAAGGCTTTTTGTTTCCTTTGTTTTGTTCCGACAACACGGCGTCTCCCGAGGACGAGTGTTTCTGAAGATGCTAACTATGAGGATATTTATTGGAAACATAATGAGGGAACTCTGGACTCCAATCATGAACTGCTGCCAGGTAAACTGAAACTGACCTGAAAACCGAGGACATGTGAGATCAGTCGCTCTGAAGCCTTTAATTTTTTTTTATAATAATACCTAATTAAATTGAGATTTACCCAAATCCATGACCTGATCAGAGGGGTCTGTGGGGATCCCGTAAAACATGATGCTGGTCAGCATGGTGCAGAGCAGCAGGGAGAAACAGCACGACACCCTCTGAACACAAGTAAAGGTGCTGCTTGGAGGTCGATTAATCACAGAGTACCAGAGGTGTCCATCATTGAAATCCTTTACCGTCTTCATGAAGAACAAATTACTGCAAGATAAAAGCAGCCTTTCAAATACTAAACTTTTTTAAACCCTTAAAACTCCCAATTAGYGAAGAATCACCATCACATTTTGAATCTCGCTATGTGACATCTGAGGGTAAAGAAAAGGACAGAAATCCTTTGAAAGTCATCAGCTCAGCAAGTCTTTTAGAAACAAAATGCTCGAGGAAGAGAAGGATTTATTGAAATTTCAATAAACCTTAWATGTTCTAAAGACCAATAACACTTCAAGCTTAAAGAGTGAATTAAAGKGTTTCCTAAAGAGATTTTCTACACATTCAGTTTAAAAACTTCAAATCCCTTTTGAAAACTTGTCTGGGGATAAAAAAGTGTTCTATACGATGAAGTGGACCGATACTCTGTTTTTATCTGTTACTTATCTGGTACATACAAAGCATGTACCTTGTMTTTACAGGGTACAAAACCTCGTAACAAGAATATGCTCTAAGTTTCAGGTTTGTACCCGATACATATGGGGAACCGTTTCCTTCAAATTGAAATAAATAAATAAATAAAATAAAATAAAATAAAATAAATATCTGAGAACTGTTTCATTCAAATTAAAATAAATAAATAAATAAATGACATGCTAAAATGTGTAATTTTATTGATTTTTATTTTTCACATGGATATATTTTTATTTAATGGAATATTTATTAATACTATTCCATTAAATAAATAAATATCCCTGTGAAAAATTAAAAAATCAATAAAATTATAATATATTTTAGCATGTCTATTTATTTATTTGTATGTATGTATGTATGTATGTATGTATGTATGTATGTATGTATGTATGTATGTATGTATGTATGTATGTATGTATGTATGTATGTATGTATGTATGTATGCATGCATGCATGCATGTATGTATTTAAATTTGAATGAAACGGTTCTCCATAGCTACACTCTATGTTAAGTAAATGAAATAAAAACCATTCATTTCAGACCATACCATCTTGATCCTGCGTGTCATGTGCTGCACAAATACTGCTGCGCATTTGCCGTACCTGAACTTCTTCAAATCCATTTCTGTTGAAACAGGGAAGAGTTTGTCGAGGCAGCAGTCACCCAAGTTTATCGCAAGCCAGGAATTGCACAGAAAATACCATTTCTGTTCTGTCTGTAAATCCTGGACCATAATGTTGCCTACAAACCTGAGGAAAAAAAACATTATGTTAAAGGTAAAGAGAGTTCAATAAATTGTTTTAATAAATTATTAATGTRAAACTGAAAGCAGCAATGGAGGATTGAAAGAGGCTTTGCTTCAGTTCTCTGAGGTTTGCAGGTGCTGCAGTTTGTGCACAACTCCCATCACAGACAGAGTGACCTCCGGTGTAACGGGACATTCACATCTATAAACTGACAGCTGTATTGAATGTTTTCCACTTTTGAATAATTTCTATTAATGCAGAAATGTGGGCTTCAAATCACTTGGAAACAACATTTAACCCTTCACAAACTGATGGAGAGCAACAGCTGCTTTTCTGGGATCTTTAATGCTCAAGAGTAGAAAACTGTGGACACTTCCATGAACACTGTTGATGATGATCAGGTAAATAAATATATTTYATTTTGAGCTGCATTGAATGATTTCTTTTTAAATGATGAATCAGTGTAGCTTTAAGACAAATCATGTCCTCTCACCCTGTTTAGTTATTGTTATGACAGCAGTAGTAGCTATAAAATATGTTTCTTTTACTTTTATTTTTCATACCAAGCGGGATGACTCCCCGAGTTATTGTGCCACAGCCGGATCACCTCCAGCTCTCCCAAAGAGTAGGGCGTCGTTAGCAGAAACAAGTCCACCGCACCCCTTTCAAACACGGGTTTCTTTGGGTCGGTCAGGTGGTGGGGCTTACTGTTTCCTTGTTCACCCAGAAGAGTTATTATAACCTGAAACAACATGATGCATTTAGAAAAATCAATATGTGAAGGTTTGTTGACGCTTTTCTCTATAATCAAGTACAAGCATTCCTTGTGATTCCTGTGTTCACAAGACCAGCATTTACTTGTTTATCTGGAAAAAAAAACTAATAATTTCCATCTCCCTTTAAGGCAAAACTTAAACATAAATACATCTAAATCTAACTTTTAAAGCCTTCAACCTTAAATGAACACATTTTAACATGAGCTGAATTGGACCGTCTAATGTTGCCTCCACTCAAATTTAACAGACTTTTACTTTTTTGTTTGCTTTTAGCTCTCCTCCAGCTCCTCTATGGAAATRTTTGTCTCTTTAGCTTTGAAATGCTTTGCTGTGCTTTAAAAAATGGAGGCATTTAAGCGAACAGATTGTCGAAAAGCAGAGTGGGTGGGAAGTAACAGCAGCAAAGCCAAGCAGATGCAGAACTTGTTCATATGCTGAGGGCAATAAAAAATGTTTTAACGCAAAKGTTTGGGTCAAACATTTTGTCCTCGACTCCTCAAAGACAAACTGCTTTCTTATACTCTTTAAAACAAAATTTTAAGTTTGCAAGAAATGTTAAACTTCATTCACTGGTTCAAAAAATAGATATTGTTACTTTTAACCTACAATGTGTTGATCACTTCCTCTGGCTCATTTTAATAGTTCAGAATCATTGATATTATAAGCTTTATGTTAATTTGTGCTTCATACAGCGATAGAAATGTATGTGGTGCCTTTTGTAAAGTTACAGTCAAAAATTACCACCAATATTTTAGTTTTATTTAGCCTTT